CAAAGCTTGCTCCCAGTGACATCCTTCCTCCAGCAAGGCCAGCCCTCCTAATGCCACCTAAACCGGCAGCAACTGAGGATCAAGAACTCAAACATACGCGAGCCTACGGGGGGCCATTCATGCCAAGCACCACAGCAGCATGGTGGGCAAACAAGAACACCTGGGCATATTATTTGGCTTCCTTCCCATTTTTATTCCCTTGTAAGAGAAGGAGGGATGCTACTGCCACTGCATGGCACCAGTCTGAAACACTCACCACCGTCTTCTGAATGAGGTTCATCAGAGGCACCGGCTGGCAACCTCTCCTGGTGCCAGCGGCTTCACTACCAGTTTCACACAAAACTTCCACATTTCCATAGATGTTAGAAAACTACCAAAATTCTAGAAAGCATTCTAACCTCAGGGGCCAAGTTAGTAACAAAAATGACACTCAAGAGATCGGAGACACGATGGCTCAGCAGTTACAGGTATCCATTGCTCTTTACAGAGGACTTGAGTTCAGTTCCCAACACCCACATTGGGCAGCTCCCAAACATCTGTAGCTCTAGCTCCAAGAGGGTCCAATGGCCTTGGTGGGCATTGCACTTGCATGCACAAAGTGTTTCTCTCTCTCTCTCTCTCTCTCCACACACACACACACACACACACACACACACACACACACTTTAAAAACAGAATTGATTTCTCAGTAGAATAAAAGTGTAGTCATTTCCATTCTCTCTAAAATGACAGCATTTCCCTCTGGGCCAGATCCTACTTCAAATGCAAATCAAAATAAGACCGTGAACCTATTTGTTGTTTCAAGGTAAGCAAATTGAAAACCGGGCCAGGTTTTATAAACTGAGGAATATGGACTATCCAGCATGGCTGGTTATCCTCAGTTATTCTATGATGAAAGCAACAGAGGGTCAGCATGGAGTGAACCCCACCAGGCAACTGGATTAGACTGGTTCTCAATGATGGGAGACAAGTGAGAAACCTTTATCACCCAAGAATAAGCCTGACTGACCACAGGAGCCTCCATGCTACTCCTGACCGTGACAGCGGGGCTCCGAGGGCTGAAGTAAGGGGCAGAGAGGCGGTTTTCAAGAGGCAAAGGCATCCAGTTGACAGAATTTTTAAATCCCATGAAAAGAGTGTCCCATTACAGAAACAATGCATGTTGCTTGTAAACAGTAAGAGCAGGCACACCAACAATGACCATAACCTAGCGGGGTGTGGCAGTGCGCGGCTGTATTCCCAGCACTTGAAAGGCTGAGGCAGCAGGATGGTGAGCTGGGGCCCGATCGAGACCTTGCCTCAAAAGGTAATAAATTAATTAATAACAGACTGTATGCTCGGCGCCCAGCCCAAGTGACTGCTAACATGTTGGAGAACCGCTTTTGAGACTTCTAACATACATGCCACCTATCAGTCTGAGTCTGCTCATTCCAAGCAGCGTATTCATTTCAGCTCCACACAATGACGACGCTGCCTTCTCTGAGGGGCTGCAGGGCAGCGCCGTACGCTATCCTTCAAAAGCTACTCCTCTTTCAGGTCAGCCATCACTCATGAAGTAGCCAGTCCCACAATGTGGGCTCAGAAAGGCATCTATTGCTTTCAATAAAGTTTTCACAAGATAGACAAGCAGGCAGTGAGACGAGCTACACATCCTGTGATTTGCTCTACTGAAGACCCACTTCTCAGACTGATAGTTCGAAAGGCCCTCACCTACAGTTACATGAACTTGATTTTGTTTTTACATAAGCACCTCGGGAGCAGGTATGGCCGCAGCACTCCCTTCTGTCCCCGGAGGCCGAGGCAGGCAGAACTCCGTTGGGCCTCGGCTAACTGTTCTCAGGAATCTCTTCGAAATAGGTTATTAGAAAACATCCAATCCCGACAGAGAAATCACACCGTCCTATAAACTGGATGTCCAGTGGTGTTTGGGGGGAACGCGCTAAGCACTCTCATGGAGAACAGATCAACTCTGCCACGCGTGTTTGTCCGTGGCACCTACAACAGTCTCTTAGCAAGTCTTTTAATTTCAAAACAGAAAAAAACACCTGGAAAGCCATAGTAAATGAATTACACAGTTGGAAAAGCCTATTCGCGTCGATTACTCTAACAATCTTCCAGATGGAGTAAGTTTTCCCACACTGGGTGGTTCAGAGTTTGAGTATCTGACAAAGGACCGGTTGACTCCATTAAGGAAATGTGTACCAAGGGCCTGGAGGGTGGGGAGCAAACACTAGACAGTCCTTTCCTGAAGTTACGGCTCCTCCGACTGGCCAACCATGGGGGCAGGTTCTTGGGCATGTGTGTATGCCTACTGGGTTAGTTGCCGTGATGAACTATCTGGCTCACGGTTGAGGGTATACATCCATCACACCGAAGGGTGGGGCAGGGGGGTGTGTGAAGCTGATCCTGCTGCATCCTCTGGCAGAAAGTTCAGCTCACTCTCTCCTTCTTAGATAGTCGAGGACCCCCGCCCTCAGGGGCGGTGCCATCCCATCAGGATAGGTCTTCCCTCCTCAGCTAAACCTGTCTGGAAATGCCCTCCCAATAGCCCTCCTGGCCGATTCTAAACCCTGTCAAGTTTTCAACTAAGACCAAGCATTAGAGCTGCTAACAGAGCGGGTTTATAGAGCTGTAAAAGGAGCCCCACTTGGAGACAGGCCAGAAACGCCCACCTCCAAGCAACACGTTGCTGGCTACCTTCAAGATCCCAAGACCCAGAAGACGATGGTTCAATATGGTTCCTCAGTGAAGAGTTTCAGTTTGAAAACATTCTGGAGATGGAGAGTAGTGACATCGCCAGATGTTAATGTACATTCTACCACCGAATTAGACCCTCAAAATAGACTTAACACCATGTTTAAGCAAGTATAAACAACCGACAACCACCTAAAGATCTAAAAGCCAAGCCAAGATTCACGAGGAACTGTCCAGGAACATGCTAACTATTCCTACACCCGAGAGTTTGACAGTGTGTTCTGAGACTTGCCTGTTCATCACACTTTACACTGGGTCTTGAGGTGGACACGAGACACCACCACATGAAGTTTCAGAATACATACTACTTTGGGGGGTAAGGGGTTCAGTTTAGCGTGTCATACAGTTCAAACACTATTCTCTTTAGAAAGAAAAACTGGGCGTGTGGATTTAGGTTTATAATACATACAAATTTAGATTTGAGGAACATGGGAACAATTACTACAGTTAGTTCTCCAGGGAAGAGGTGAATTCTTAAAACACTGGGAGAACACAAGCCTCATCTTGGGCCTGATGTGACACCCTCACTGCTTCGTTCTGCACGTGGCTCTTACATTTTCTCTTTTCTCATATCTTATTTGAAGGGGAGGGATACCGATGTTAACTGGAAAGGTTATGACAGGTGAATGGGAGGCCAATTACACAAACAACAAGGCCTCTCGCCCCAGAGATGAACATTTACACAGCAAACAAATCTCACTGGCTAGGTTCTAATTGTTGGGTGAGACGCTTCAGCCAGATGCTAACAGCAATGTGAGTTCCCTAAGAAAGGCTTCGTGCACTGTGAAAAATGAAGAAAACTGACGGCCCAGCTAAACACGGGAGAAACAACCTGGGATTGTGCCTGTGTCCCTGTGCTTCCAGAAACAGCACACAGAGCAGGTCACTGACTGTTGACAGCATGGGCCACAGCGGTCAGTCAAATTAACCTCCTCCTCCTTCTCTCTACATCACAATGCAAATGAGTAGTTTTTTTAAAAAATGTGTGCAAAAGCATTCTGTTCTGCACCTCTGCTAATGACCGGCCCTGGCCACCTGCATCAGTCCCTTCCCAATAGCCACTGCTGGAATCCACTTTGGTACAAGCTCCAGCACCGTCTTGATTCAACAACCAGGAAAGAAAACGCTAGAAAAGGGAGAAAGTTAAAGCTTCTATACACAGAAGCTTCCCGGAGGAGCCTCTAGGTAAGGAGGTAAAAACCTAGCACCATGGTGACAAGCTTCTAGTACCTTCTTACAAGGGACCTCGCTGAAACACTCTCTTGGTTGTAGTATATGCAACCTGTGTGTGATTCTGGGAAACGGAAAATACAAACGCGTGAGATGTCATTCCTTCAATGACATCTCAGCAGAGTCAAAGACGGCCTTCGTGTGACCGCCCACCTGCTCACTCTCTCAGTATCTTATTCGTAAATTCCTAAAACTTAACATGCAAACTCTCTCCGCAGAGCGGTGCTTCTCAACCTTCCTCGTGCCGCGGCCCTTTAACGAAGTTCGTGTTGTGGTGATCCACCCACCATAAAATGATCTCCATCACTATTTCATAACTGTATTTCCGACTGTTATGAATCATAATGTAAATCTCTGTTTTTCAATGGTCTGAGATGACCTCTGTGGAAGGGTTTTACTACCCTGAAGGGGTCGCGCCCCACGGGTTAGGAACCACTGCCATAGAGGGCTTTAGGTGTGTTTTGCTAATAACTTGTGCGCCTACAAACCAGCAGAGAGGTGAATGGCCTCCTAACAGGGACCCAAACCGCCCTGCTGTGTTTTGCGAGTGGCTTCACTTTATGACTAGCTAAGGCAATCTGGTCCAGTAAGTACCTCAGCTCACCCACTAGAACATGACCTCACTTCCCCGCCACATATGTGAGCGCAGAAGACCCACCTCCGCCTGCGGAGGTGTCTGTGACTCAACGGCAGACTCCACAGCAAAGACGAAAGGAATCTTCCAGCAGGCGCTGGGCCCCGCATTTCCACAATGCGACCTGGGTGCAGCCCTGCTTGTGTTTTGCTGGTGACCACTAGCAGTCCCGAGGAGCCTCATTCGCCTCCTCCTGCCTTCCCGGGGTGGGCTCTAGAGTCTGCAGGGCCCATACCCCAGCATTCTTAAGTCGCCGAACCAAGGCGAAGACCACATTAGCACTTGAGAAATGAAACACCCTATAAAGCCATTTTTTCCAGGAGAAGGCGAGCAAGAGGGAGAGGAAGCGTGGGGGGCAGGGAAGGTCAAAGAGACTGCTTACCTGCATCAGCTTCCGAGACAGCTCATTGGTGAGAAACTCCTCTTCTTTCTCATAGTTCACGGCAAGGGTTTCTTTCTCCTTCTGCAAGGCCTGGATTTTCTTGAATAACGTGTTACTGATAAATTCTTCTTCCTGCTCAGCCCTCGCTTGCTGTTTAGAAGAATGAGAAGAAAACAAAAAAGCGATGAGAACACAGAGAATTTCCCAAATGCAACGTAGCTCTTCTTTCTAGACCTGCCTATTTTAACACGTGAGAGCTCTGTTCTTTTGTTCTTTTTAAGGTTTATTTACTTATTATGCATACGACATTCCTTCCATGTATGCTTGCAGGCCAGAAGAGGGCACCAGATCTCATTAGAGATGGCCGTGAGCCACCATGTGGTTGCTGGGAATTGAACTCAGGACCTCTGGAAGAGCAGTCAGTGCTCTTAACCTCTGAGCCATCTCTCCAGCCCCCGAGAGCTCTATTTTTAACCGTGAACCTTCCCACCCCTACACACAAAGCAGAGGAATTCTGCAAGGGTTCTAGGTACAACTTCCCAATATCTGCATGAACCTTTTTTAAAAGCGGTAGGTCAAATTATCAAAGACGAGATTTCAGGAGGTACTCGCAAGATCGATACCCAAACACACAGCATCCCTCGTGACAAGACCCAGCCTGCGCAGCACACACCTGAACAAACTGAGGTACATCTGCGTGTTCATGGAACTGTTACAAAGAGAGGTACTGAGTCCTAAAGAGTATGTAAGAGGTACTAAGTGTCTCAAAGACCAGAGAGAACTCTCACGGTTTACATTCTTTCTCTACTAGGAACTCAGGGATGGAAGGTGGGGTGACTCCCAAAGCAGGAATTATTGAGTTGAAAAAACACAGTGGAAACACTCGAGCAAAAGGGGCCAGGCATAATGCAGTGGGTGACAACATTCTTCTGGGGGTCACCTCTCATCTCCCCAAAAGCTTTAATAAACAGCAAAGCATAACCAACAACTCTTGAGGAAAAATCCCTTTTAGAAAGAAAAGAACTCAGCTCTATTGAAAGTAAAAAAACACCAACCTTTTGATATATTTATCCCACATACATTCCTTGAGCTGTTTTTTCTTTTTTTAATTTTGAGGTTTTCATTTTACGTGAATAGGTATTGGCCTGTGTGGATGTCTGTGCACCATGTGTGCCGATGGCAGCCAGAAGGCAGTGTTGGCTCCCCTAGAACTAAAGTTACAGGCGACTGTAAACTACTGTGAAATCCAACCAAGATCCCCCGGAAGAGCAGCCAGTGCGCTTGAACTGCTGAGCCATCTCTCCAGTCTCATCTTTTATTATTTTAAATAGATACTTTAATTCTACTGCTGGCATTTACAAGCAGAAAGCACACAGCCAAGTCCAGGGAGAGAGCACTGCATAAATCCCATGCCTCTGCTGACACCAGACAGCCAGAAGGACAGGAAAAAGGAGGTCGGTTTAGGCAGCCACTACCTTCATCTTTAAAGGGCTGTTACAAACACTCCACGGCCATCACCACCTCGAGACCAGCTTCCCCAACATAGACCAAGATCCTCAAGGCTTCGGGGGTAGCACACCCCTGGGTTACATTTTCCCAGTAACCCTAGAAAACATCTGCCCAAACACACTTGTGATACTGGGACTGGAATCCAGGACTACATAGGGCAGCACTGAAGTGCTGAGCCACACAGCGCATGCCCACTAGCTATAAAGTCCCTGAACAGCCAAGGGCACCAGGAGCAGACCCTGAGTCCCCCAGGGGTTGGTTCCCTTACCTGCCTCACTTCACAAGCCCTTGGCGTGATCTCACCCTCCCTGCTACAGACAAGGAGGTAGACTCAACTTTTGTCTTTTACAGTCACTGTGCACTCTTCTTCCAAATTCAGAAACTTCAAGATCCCCTTCCCACATGATAGGCAAGAATCCCAAGTATTTACATAGCTAGCTCATCTAGATAGCCAACCCCGCGGTCCACCTGCAATCTCCCCAAGCTGCTTGCTTTCCTGGTTCTGACCAATCTAGTCCAATTCTGACTATTCTAAATGTCATGGAAGAGAAAGATGGAGGGACTCTACCCAGCTGGCTGAGCTGATGCTGGGCTTAGATCTCAAAAAGGTCACTTGCCACAAGCCAGCATCCAAGCCGCCACTTACACACGATCACACATTATCTTAAATGAGTGGCAGTTTCACCACAAGTAGTAAGAGGAGTCTCTACCCAGCCAGGCAGACCACCTTCTCCTTCACACGGGGCCTACAGGGACAGTAAGAGGTTCCCAGCTAGTACTTCTGACACAGAAGATCAACCTTCAACCTTCATCTACTTGGTTCCTTCCGCCTCATCATTTCAAGTAGAGTTAAAGGGATGACAGACTGTAGTTCCTTATAAACAAGAACTTTAAGGGCAGATGAGGACTCCTGGTTGCCCAAGGCTAAGGAGTGGTTGCTACCCTGTGCCGATTGTTTGCAGAGCTGAGGGGAGCATCTTGGAACTGGGTGGCATGAATAGTTCTGAATATACTAGCTGCCACCAAAACACACGTTCTAAGGGTGACTGTTATCTTTTTTTATATTATTAAAATAGGACTCTGCTAATTAACAAAGCACAAAGCACGTTGTACAGAGCTGTGTTTCTACATAGTTCTTCCCAGGCAAAGGAGCACATTTTTAAGCTACTGTGATGAACCTTCCCAACTGACACGCCATGGGGGTGGGAAGCCGGGTCTGTGGCAAAAAAGATAAAGATTTACTATTGCAGAGGAGCCATTTGTTTCTTGGCAAAGGCCATTAGTAGGAAATGCTCCTCTGAAACCCTGAGTAAAAATAACTATCATGTTGACAACTATCTGCCGCTGGATGTCCTGGTGTGTACCTGCAATCCCAGTATTTGGGAGGCTGAAAGAGGGGTCACAATGAGTTCAAAGCCAGCCTGAGCTACACAGCAAGATGCTGCCTCAAAAGCCCAGTGGGGCTACCAGGGTTTATGAAAAGCTCCTTCAGCTTCCTGGCAGTTCTAAGTTCTAGCTGGGGGCCATCTGGTCGTCACAGGTTATGTTAGACACAAGGTTCACAGTTGAAGAGAAAGGTAAGATGTATTCGACACTGCCTCGGAGGATAATGTTCTGAGAAAATCTGACATGGCATCCAGCGTCCTGCTGGTATCCTGACAGTGTGGGTAAAAACCGGATCACGACAGAAGCCACACACACATCACAGAAAAACAGCCTACATCCACTCAATCCTCCAGCAGGCTTTCGCCCACAGTGTGGGGCATCATCTCAACTTTACATCCCCATCTTAAAACAGGCCCTTGGATCGAATCTGTACAGAGTCATGGTTGCAATGCATTCCCGACAGGAGGTCAGGACAAAGAGCAAGCCAGGGCGCTAGTCCCGAAACACCAACAGGTTGACAGAGGGAGATAAATCAAGTTCCTTGTGAAATCTCATCCTCGGGTTACATCAGCCATCTTCCCCTGTTATCTGAAATATTTGAAAATCTCAGTGCCCCTAAGCACGGCTCAGTTCAGAACTCAAACCTGCATCTCAAAGCTCAAACAAAGCTGAACAAACAAATCCAGGTTTATCTCTCTCTCTCTCTCTCTCTCTCTCTCTCTCTCTCTCTCTCTCTCTGTGAAGTCTCAAACCAAAACATAAGCAAGCACATCGGGAACGCAGGCAAGAAGAATGTCTTCATTGTTCTGTGTGTCTGTAGAGCTGAAGATGAGGAAAAACACACCGTTCTGTCTTCAGATCCAGTACGAACTGAGTCGCTTAGCAATGAGGACATCTGAGTCATGAACCAGTGTCTACACAACACGCCGAGGTGAAAATGGACTCTACCTTCACCACTATCCTTCTCCTAGCCTACCAAATAGAATTTCAATATACTAGAAAGTAAATATAATAAACAAAGGGAGAGCTGGATCAACTCCTCCGGAAAAGCAAGCACGGAGTGACCCTTAAATGGGCTCTTCTCAGTCACCATCACTTGGGCAGAGATCTGACAGCGGTGCCTACGGTGGTGGCATTCTGGAGAGTTCCAGAACTATCTATTAGAGCATTCACTGCTGATGAGGACATCCAAGGGCCTGAGTGAACCAGAACCACGCAGGTGGATGTAACACCCGCGGGGCCCAATAAAAGGCGGGCCATTTTCCCAAAGCACGAAAGTACAGGCACACACGCACGCGCTTGACCACAGCTTCAGGAACAGGCTCTATCCAGAGGAAAGGTCAAGAGACGACCAACAGGACTCAGTGCAGTCACTTAAGGCATTACCTTGACATTGCTAGTGATCTGTCTTAGTTACCAAGAATTACGAACTGTCACTGCTCAGGAATCCAGACAGGATCCTTTTATTACTGTAATCATTTAAATTAAGCCTATACTTGTATATATTACTCTAATTGTTCAAAAAAGATGATTATTCTGGGACTGGATGAATGCTCGGCAATTAAGAGCACTGGCTGCTCTTTCAGAGAACCCGGGTTTCAGAGACTCCCAGAACTCACAGCTGGCTTACAATCCCATCTCTAACTCCACCTCCAGGGTGCCCGATGACTTGACAACCACGCACCCAGATACAAAATAACAACAAGCATTCCAATTGCTATCCTGTTGTCTGGTCATTAGTGATCTAAATTTAACCCTTTGTGCCCTGTCAGACACATACAGGTCAGAGGAAGACTTTGTGGGAGTCCACCATGTGGGTTCCAGGGATCAAATTCAGATTGTCCGTCTTGGCAGCGCACTCCCTTGCTCCCGGAGTCTCCTCGATATCCCCAGATCTAAATTTTAAAAAGCTTAAAGTCTTGCTCAGTAGTTGAGGAGCTGGGGGAGGGACAGAGTTTGAGGCAAACCTGGGCTATATGGTTAGTTCTAGGCTATCCTGGGCTACAGAGTCTAACTTTGTCTCAAAATAATAATAATAATAATAATAATAATAATAATAAAAAAATTAGTTTGAATGGCATCTGATGGCATATTGTTAGGGCAGCGAGAACCACCCAACACACTGCCAGGCAACTGGGTAAAACCCCATTCTTTCTAAACTGTCATTCTGTGAGGTGGTTTGCACTTATTGACTGCCCCAGCAGATGCTCCTAATTTAACAGGATCCCGAGACTGACAGCTGGTGGGTCTTACGG